CATTCTGCAACACTCCATGTGCCTCCTGAGGGTTTGAACTTGGGTCCCTGTTCGTTTGAACTTGGCTGCTTGTCCTCCTTCAGACTTGAACTCACAACCTGACCCACAGCCGTTCTGAGTTTGGAGCTCAGTTGGCCCATCTCCAAAATGGCGACTGGCGACTTGCCCTCTCCTGGGGATGTCTCAACCCAAATAACTCACCCGCCACTAGATACCACCATGGCACTGCTCCCTTACACTGGCGTGTCTTTCCAGGTAGGCTTCTGGGGTTTGCAGACGTCACTGTGCACCTGTAGGCTAGAGCTGACCCTCCAGCTCTCAGTGAGTCTGGGCTCAGGGAGCTCCTGCCACCTCCTCCTGCTCCAGTGACATCTCTCTTTTTGCTCTCCTCATGGACTTCAATTCTCACTTCAGATTCTTCCGATCTTCTCTTCTTCACATTGCTGTATTTCAATGTCTAGACACCAAGTTTCAGAGAGGCTCTTTCTGTGCCATCTTCCCAGAAGTCTGTGTAACTGGCTTCTGGATTTTGAATCTGTTGCAAGATCCTACCTCTTCAATTTATTGGGAATGCAAAGTTGTTACCTATTTGGTCCAACCCCTGGTTCTTTGGCACTGGCCTATATTATTTTTGTGACCCCTAAGCAATCTCAGTCTTGGTATACCAGGAAGAACAATTGATTGGAACAATTATACCACCTTGGGTAAAGTACTACAATGAACAATAACAATAGCATCAAACACAATCTATAAAATGACAAACTGTGGTTACTATTAATTTGCCACCTCTAATTGTATGAACTAGATTTGTGGTTATCTAATAAAATCTAAAGCAAACAAGAAAATTGCATACACTAAATATGGCTTCTGCATGGCAATTTTACCCTCAGGGGAGAAAATTTAAAAGGAGCTAATGGGAAAAATCCAGAAGTAGAAGAGGAAGAGATTATAAGCACAGTTGAAGGACAAAGAAAGATTATAAAAACTTTGGAAAACTAGTGAAGAAAGAAAGTAAAGAAAGAATACAGAAATAAAAACAGGACCATACCAAAACAACAACAAAAAGAACTAGAAACAATGTTTAGGTGGGCCTAGGTCTTGCACACAGTGACTGGACCATGGCCTGCCCTGTTGAAATCCGTGCTCCCGGGGAGCATGCTGGGTCTGGTTGTGCCGGTCCTTGTGTGCATGCCTGCAGCCCAGGCCTTTGGTCCAACTTCACCCAACTGTGGCTTTGGCTTTGGAAGAGTTGCAGAAGGATCTAGAAGAGGTTAAGGCAATTCTGGAAAAGGCCACCAGGAAGAAAGTACATGAAGCTCTGGCAGCTGAAAAATCCAAGACTGAAACAGAAATAAAGAATAAGATGCTGGCTGGCCAAATAGCTCAGCTGACTAAAATGCCTGCTTGGATAGGCGCAAGGACCAGGGTTTGATCCTCGGCGTGCTGTGCTGGGCCTGCCCCTGGGGTGCACTGATAGGGTAACTGAGACTGGGTAGTGGCGTGCGCCTGTGTGCACCTGTAATTCCAGCGCTTGGGAGGCTGAAAACAGGAGAATCACTATGAGTCTGATCTGTGTAGTGAGACCCTGAACACCCTGTAGACTCCTCTTTAAAATACAAAAATAAATAAATAAAGCTGAGGATATAGCTCCTAGTTTCAGTATCACTAAAGAAAAAAAAAAGTAGGCTAGATTTAGTATAACCTGCACTATGTTAATGAAAATAACTTCTAAACTAAAAAAAATTTTTTTGTTTTTTTGAGACCAAAGTATTTTGGTATTTTATTGATATTTATTTTTATATTAATATTTAATCTTTTGTTTCCATAAAAATTTTTCTAATTTATCTTCTTAATAAAGCCCAAAGAGAGATTATACTTTACATCCTCAGTATTATACTCACTCCTCCATATAGTAGGCATTCAATATATATTTCTTTACTCAATACATTTACTATTCTTTGGAAGAAGCAGGGATATTTTTATAAGATGTAAACTGTCATTAGGGTAGAGAGTGACCAGGAGAAACTGAAAACAGAAAAGGCAAATTAACAGGTCAAATTTTAGATTGGAAAAGCAGAAAACAAAAGGACTTTTGCTTTTTCCAAGAAGGTTCTCTGCCCTGAAGAACACGGAATTAATATTAGTAGTAATTGTAATAATGATAGTCGTATGTTCACTCTGTCTTAATACAGGAAAACCGAAAGATTGGGACTGTTATTTATCCCAATCTTACCGCTAAGGAAACTGAGGCAAAAAGGCCCATCGCCATTCAGCTAATCAGTAACAGCTAGAATAAAAATCAGGCCAAGAACCTGCCCTCTTAACCATGGTTCCATACTAAGTAAATAGCAGGGATGAATCAAACACATTTTTTCACTTAAAAATCTGTTTAACTTTGAAGAGAGTTTAGTAAAAGCATTACTACTAAATCTGAACTATTGGCTCCATATCATACTCCAAATAGTTATACAGACACCAAAAGCATTTAGTTAGGGCTGACAAGACAGCTCAGTGGACTAAAGCACCTGCTTAGGCAAGCTCAGGCAAGCTCAGAGACCATGGTTCATCCCCACACCACGTCCCTTGCCAGCCCCGCTCCCAGGGTCGGCTGAGCTGGCTAAAGCCCAGGTGTGGTGGCACATACCTGTAATCCCAGCACTGGAGAGGCTCAAAGCAGGAGGATCACCCTGAGTCCCAGCTGTGCAGTGAGACCCTGAAACACTCAAATACATGAAAACAAAACAAAACAAAAAAGCATTTAGTTAAGTTTCTTTTTCCTTTCTTTCTTTCTCTTTCTTTTTATTGCAGTAGTGGGGATTGAACTCAGGATCTTGTGCTTACCAGGCAGGCGCTTATGCTGCTGAGCTGTATCCCCAGCCCGTTTGTTTTCTTGAGACAGGGTCTTGCTATGCAGTTCAGGCTGGCCCTGAACTCATTGTATATATGCCCGGGCTGCCCTGAACTTGCAGCAATCCTCCTGCCTCAGCCTCCAGAGTGCTGCGGTTATGGGCATGCACCACCGCACCTACCACCAAAAGCATTTAGGTAATGGGGTGGCTAACATATTTTAGCAAGCCAAACTTTCCCAGCAACTTGTCTCAAAATGTGACTAAAAGACAGGAGGATGCTGAAGGTGCTGTAACACCAGCACATGGAGAAGACTAAGGCAGAAGGCTCACAAGTTCAAGGCCAGCTTGGGTTATACAGAGAGCTTAAAAACAGCCTGGAAGGGCCGGGAGATAGCTCAGTAGCACAAGTGCTTGACTGGCAAGTGCAAGGTCCTGATTTTGATCCCAAAACAAACGAACAAAAACAACCTAGACTCTGTATCAAGATCCCTATTTCAAACAAACAAACAAACAAACGAGGGGGGATATATTCAGCCAGAATGACTGGTCCAGGTAGTAGGAACTGATTTTTATCCTTCAGGTGGTTAAAATAATAAGCCCTATGCCTAAAGCTGCATTTATCCTCATTTTAGCCCAACAACAGCAGATACATGCAAATGTTGGAAAGCCAGTCTTAATAAAAATTATTCCTTAGGAGGATACTGAAAGGGACTTACCTGGTAACAAAATGCTTTCGCCAACAGCCTAGGTCCCATCTATCCTCTCTTGGCCTCCCAAAGTCATCTTTGGAGGATTTGCTGCTGCGGCTGCTTGGATGCGACCCAGGGCCTTGGCACTGAGCTACGTCCTCAGCTCTTTTTGTTTATTTATTTCATTTTGGGACAGAGTCTCACTAAGTTGCTCAGTTTCTAGGCTTCCTGCTTCACTCCTCCAGAGTGCTGGGATCGCAAGTGTATGCCACCAGGTCCAACTTTTAAAAGGTGTGTGTGTGTGTGTGTGTGTGTGTGTGTGTGTATGGGGCAGATGTCTTTCTTCTCTATTTCTCTATCCTGGGACAAGTCACAAACCCAAGTTTGAGTTGCCTCATGAAAAAATCCCAGCACTGGGGAGGGGGAGGCAGCAGGATTGTTGCAAGTTTGAGACCAGCAAGAGCTACAAAGTGAGCTTACGGCCACCCTGAGCTGCATAGTGAGACCCTGTCTCAAAAAAAGGTAAAAAATAGAATTCTTGATATACAAGGGGGGGTCATCTCTGATACAAGAAACCAATAAAAATGCAGCTGGGCATGGTAGTGCACACCTATAATCCCACCAGAGATCCTTGGGAGGACTGCTGTGAGTTTCAGGCCAGCCTGGGTTACACAGTGAAATAACTACCTGCCTGGCCTGAGTTCAATCTCCAGTACCACACACACACAAAACCAAACCAACCTTGGGGGCTGGGGAAGATAGCTCACTGGCATATACTCCTGCCTGAAATAATACTATGACCTTGAAATCATTTTCCTAAAATTAAAAAAAATATATTTATAGGGCACCATGATCCTTAGTGTAGCTATTTTTATTTTATTTGTGAGTTGTATATATTATCTAGTAAGGTATTAAAAATTATCTTAAGAGGGTTTTTGGTTTTATTTGTTCTTATAAATTTTTTTTAAAGGTAGTTTGTGGTTGTCACAGGGTCTCGCTACACAGTTCAGACTCATAGTGCTCTTCCTGTCTCCGCCTCCCCAGTGCTGGGATTACAAAGCGGGCACGGCATGCCCAGGGTTCTGGGGCTAGCATGGCATGCGGTACTGGGGATTGAATTCCTGTGCTTGCGCTTGCCCAGCATATGCTCAGGCTGCTGAGCTAGCTCTCCAGTTCTATTTATTTGTTCTTAAAACAGGGCCTAGATGTATAGTTCAGGCGAGCCTTGAATTCCAGGCTGGCTTCAAACTACCAGTGACCCTCCTGCCTCAGCCTCCAAAGTGCTGGGATTACAGGCTTGCACCACTATGCCCAAGGTTTTCTTTTCTCTTTTTTAGGTTTTGTAAAACATACTAAACTCACCCCTTCTTCACAAGAGAGAACATGTTATAACGTACATGATTTGCCTTTTCTTTTTAAAAAAACACATCACTCCATTTACCAGTCTAAGTCATGTGTTTTATAGGCAAGGAAAAGGAAAGAGGGGAAGAAAATGGCCAGTTCCTTTCTACTTCATGCTGATCAGATTCTTAGCAGCCACCTCGTGGATTCTTTTATCCACAAAGGAATGATGTTTCTACCTGCTCATCACCTTGCTGATTGAAGTCATTTCACTCGTACTAAACGCGAGTACACTTTGCATTTATATCACTTTTCTTTGGCTATCTGCTCCAGGGCTATGTAAGCCCGGAACTGCAGTCGGGCCTCCATGGGGTAGTCCTTGTAGTTCTTAATGTTCTCTAGGTTCTGCGCTGCCCTGGCACGATCTCCTCTCAGGTAGTACAGAATTCCCAGTTCATAGTAGGTGTACGGGACCAAGTAGTGGTCGTACTTTAACAGTTTCTCCTTCTGAATAACGCGGTTGAAGTAGTGCTCGGCCTTCAAATACTTGCCCAAGTGCTTCAGGCACAGGCCCTTCATCAAGTTTAACGAACTTAAGTCGTCTGTGCCGTACTCCTCATTTGGGTTTTCTTTCAGAAGGTCTTGCCCTTTCTCAATGATTGATAGCCATTTTGAAATAAGCTCTAGCCTTTTGCTCATGATTCGGAATCCACTCCAGGCGTAAATGAATTCCAGCAGGGGCTGCGCTGTAAACCAGCCTGCAGTGGTAGCGTAGCGCTGACCTTTCTCAGCAATGAACAGTTCTATTGGCACCGATGTGCCTAAAATTTTGATTCTTAGGCTATCCACGCTTAAGAAGAGAGAGTTAACATCTTCCTTTACTGATTTCACAAACTCAGAAGGCATCAAAGCCAGTATTACAGCTTCGCTGTACGCGTAGGTGGCCTTGGACCACCTGCTGTGCAGGTACAGGAGGTGGGCGCAGTGGTAGGCCTGCCTCCAGTTCTGCAGAAAGATGTGGCACCACATGAGCTCCCAGTAACAGAGGTGATGGATCTGCCTCCATTCATTCTGAATAAAGATGCAGTGCTGTAATTGCAGCAGCGCCCTTTCAAAATGTCCTCTCAACATACTGAGGCGCGCGTGAAAAAAATTAAGTATAACACATTTTGGGAACTTTCTGAGGTAGGTGAAGAGGAGATGCTCGGTAGCAGAATTGGAAACACTCTCAACACCAAAAGCTACGTAAATGTAATTATGATAAAAGAGTAGAGTCAAAGCACTTAAGATATTGTTTATATGGGGCTCAGATGTGCTTTCACGAAGCAGAGCCAAGCCCACCTCTCTGTCACCAGAATATCCAACAATATTGAGAAGCTTAAGTGTCCTTGGTGGGACAAGGGATAACATCAGGTTGAAAACTCCAAGGCCAAATTTGATCCCTCCCACCAGGTGTCTGTGGGCTTTGCTTCGAATGTTAGACATATATGGTAGCACCTGTTGGCAATCTTTGTATATCTGGTAGCTTAACCCAATATTTACCCCGCTTTTAAGAAAACCAACCAAACTGTCGTCCTGTATAAACGTTATGACGGCTTTCAAGAGCAAACACTCGGCATAGCAGACCTCAGCGTGCAGTTCCTCTTCTGTGACAGCACTCATCCCCTGTCTGCTCACTATGTGAGACAAAGACATTATCCTTGGCTTTTTCCGGAAGTTGTTACAGGTTTTCAAAGCTTCCTTTGCAGTGTCCATTCCAATCTGTATATCTTGTGGGTCGAAAGTCAGGACGGCCTTGACAACCATAAGCATGCTGTAGATGAGGGCATGGTATATACTGTTTCTAGACCACGGGTGGATGAGGTCTATTGCCTCTGCGAACCTATTATTTAGAAATAAATACAATCCAGTTGTACATTCTTCCAAGGAAGACTCCAGATTCATTGTGGCTGCCACAGGAATACTTTCATAGGCATCTTCAAACTTGTCATCCTGCACATTTTCCCTTTTAGGGGGCGATTTTCTTAACTTGCCCTCATTGCCAGTTTCCCTTTCATTGAGAGTAAATGACAATTTGTCTTCTTGCTCCTTTTCTCTTTTTCTTAGAGCAAGAGGCATATCTGCTCCCCTGCTTGGCAATGTGGCTATCTGAAGCAGAGTGCCGCGGCTGCAGGAAGGGTAGCTCTGCTGTCCCCAGCAGGGTCTCTTCTTTCACACACAGCTCAGTCTGAAGTGTTGCTTCAAAACGGAGGTAAACGAATGACTAGTGGAGGGATGCAGCATTCGGATATTTGCATCTGTTGGACAAGGGGGACAAGAGAATTTTATTTAACCAAAAGATGCATTCCAGAAAAGTTCTAAGAACTTGGAATATATATATATATATATATATATATATATATTTATGGAACCAAAAGATGCATTCCAGAAAAGTTCTAAGAACTTGGAATATATATATATATATATATATATATATATATATAGTATATAGTATATATGTATATATATTTTTAATGTTATTTAGTATAGGGTCTACAGGGTCTCACTACACAGACTGGACTCGTGGTGATCCTCTTTGTTTTCAGCCTCCCCAGTGCTGGGATTACAGGCGCGCACCACCACACCTGGTCTCAGTCACTGTCTCAGCAGGCCCCAGGGGGGTGGAGGGGGGACTGGTATGGCATGCCGGAGATCAAACCACTGGCCCCTGGGTCTGCCTGAGCAGGTGCTTCAGTCCACTGAGCTATCTGGCCAGCCTTAGAATTTGGAATATATATAAAGAAAACATGCTCTGCTAAAACATTCCAAAGCAAATCCTTTGTAAAGAAGAGTTCATCTGAAACTTTTCCTTCAATACATCAATTTCATAAGATGATTTCTTATATTTCTTTCTTTTTTTTTTTTTTATGGTACCGGGGATTGAACTCAGGACCCTACGCTTGCTTGCCAGGCAAGCACTTATTCTACTGAGCTATCTCCCCAGCCCTCTTTTATATTTTATTGTAGAATGGTACTGCAATAGCTATAAAATCTCTATAAGAAGGTCTGGGGGCCTGGCCCTAGCTCAGGCCTTTAAGTGGCTGCTTATACAAAGCTGTCAGCCTCAGGTTGCTGGAGTTCGAACCTCACAACTCTCCCGCTGGCCAAAAGTGCCCTGAAGGCGTTCGAGGAACAAAAAAAAAAAAAATCCTAAGAAGGTCTTTGGGGACAAAGATCTCAGGGGACAGGCTAATGTATTTACATAGTTCTGTAGTTGAAAGAAAGGAACAGGGGGCCGGGGAGATGGCTCAGTGGAATAAGCGCTTTCCTGGCAAGCGCAAGGGCCTGAGTTCAATCCCCAGTTCCACAAAAAAAAAAGAAAGAAAGAAAGAAAGAAAGGAATGGGTGAATTGTCTAAACTGACAAATCTCTCCCATACTATACTTAGTATGTTATTCTTAGTTTGCTATTTTTTAGGATCATCACTGTACTTCATATATATGTCTTACTGAAATTAAATATTATTGTCAGTTGCATAGGATTTTAGATATGGACAGAGGTATAAAGTAGGAAGATTTCCTAGAAGTTAAAAAAAAATAAATTCAGCTGAGTGTGGTGGTACACACCTATAATCCTAGCACTTGGGAGGCTGAGACAGGAGGATCACTTAGTTTCCGTTCAAGGCCAGCCTTGACTACATAGTGAGTTCAAGGCTAGACTGAACTTCATAGCAAGACCCTGTCTCAACAAAACAATAAATAGATAAATAAAATTTAGATTGTGCTTAAATTGTATATTTTGAGACTGGGTATGATAGTGCACCTGTAGTTCCAGCACTCAAGAGACTGAGGCAGGAGGATCACTTCAAGCTTAAGGCCAGTATGGGCTACACAGTAAGTTCAAAGCTGGCCTAAGCTACACAACAAGAGCCTGTTTCAAATACAAAACAAAACAAAACAAAACAAAACAATAAAAACCTGTATGTTTTGATAAGTAAAATAGAAAGCCACAGTATGGAAGATAATCAATGGAGAAAAAAAGAGAAAAGCAGAGGATGGGTATTTTTTTTACAGAAGAAAAAGAAAAAGGAGAATATGTTATATTTGAGGGGGAAATGATGCGGAGTGATATTGTTTGAGATACATGCTCATTTTTATGCCTTAGGGTTCAGTTCACTCTGGGTTTTAACAAATACCATCATTGCTTAGTCTGCTGAACTATCTCGCTGGCCTTTCATCATTGCTCTTGACAAGAAGAGTTCATAACAGTTAGCTGACTCAGTTCCAAGTTGGAAAAGTTGTGTGTTCTTTAGGAGGGAAATTAATCTTGAGGCATCAGTGGTAGCTACGGCGGGGGACATTGCATGGTTTTGCCTAGCGCGCCATACCCAGAACACAAGAAAAAATAAGCACTTTGGCCGAACCAAAACGCTTTCAAATTATATTTCATAGAATTGCTATTTGCTCTTCAAGACAGTTCACACTTTTGAAATCTTACCAAAGTCTATCAGTATAATTACTCTTGTGAGTAATGAGACATTCTGTGTATATTTTTGTTAGTGTTTCTTTTGCCACCTTATAATTATTCATACATCTGCCTTTACCTCTAACTTCGGAGCTCCAAGGCATGATTTGTGTTTTTTATTCAGCATTATAGCTCAATTCTAGCACCCTCTCAAGATCAAAGTTGGCATGAATAAATGTTTAGTAGGTGGCATCTAGGATTTTTCCTAATTTTTTTGTTTTGTTTGTAGTTTCTGTGTTTGTTTTTAGTACTGGGAATTGAACTGGGGCCTCTCAGCGCTGTCACTGAGCTACACACAGCCCCATCTGCTCTAAGAGTTTCTTTTTTTTTTTTTTAATTTTTTTTTTTATTTATCTGTGTGTGTGTGTGTGTGTGTGTGTGTGTGTGGCCAGCTCAGCCCACCAGGGGGCGGGGCTGGCTGGCATGTGGTGCTGGGGGATTGAACCGCGGTCCCTGTGCTTTGTTTAGCTTGTTCTAAGTAGGTGCTTTAGACCACTGAGCCATCTCACCAGCCCTTTAAGAGTTTCTTGAAAGCAAGTCTGAACTCATCTTTCTGCCACATAATTGCTAGACCCAAACAACGCGTTTAAAAAATATGTTTTTGGTCCCTGGTTCTGCAGGCCGCACTGGCCCCACCCCTGGCACATTTAGGAGGCCACACAGTCTGGGCTTGGTGGCATACACCTGTAATCTCAGTGCTGGGGAGGCTCAGATAGGAGGATCACTGTGAGTCCGAGCTGTGTAGTGAGACCCTGTACAAGATACATAAATAAAGAATAAAATAAAATATAAAATAAATAAAAAATATATTTTGGGGATTGGATTCTACTCCTTCCCTACTTCAAGGATTAATATTTATATAGTCAATAGTATAAACATTCAGAGATGTTGGAAGAGGCAGTATTTGTTCCCTATTCTTAAAACTCCCATATGGGAAATTTCTGCTTGATGAACTTCTGACAGGTGGGCTAACTTCCAGCCAAGAGTCAGCAGAAGAATCTGTTGCACCTTCTGGATTTTTTTTTTAGTTAGCCTATCCAAAATATATATACTTTTTTTACTATATTTGGTACAGGGTCTCACTATGCAGCTTGGATTCACAATGATCCTCCTGTTTTTAGCCTCCTCAGCACTGGGACTACAGGTGTGCGCCACAAGCCCTTTCGTGGTGGCCAGCTCAGAGCGCGTAGGGGCAGGGCTGGCATGGTGTGTGGTGCCAGGGATCAAACCCCAGTCCTTGCGCTTGCCTAAGCAGGTGCTCAGTCTGCTGGGCTATCTCGCCAGCCCTAGCCTTTCTGAATTTTAACATCAAAACCCAGAAGAGTTTGTTTTTTGACTATAGCTGCAGCTGGAACCTGCTGAATAAATCTTGTTAATTGAGTAAAACATTACTCAGTTTACTTGGCTGGAAAAATGTTGCCATGGCTACTATAAGCTTACTCAAACAGTTTTTTTTTTGTTGTTGTTGTTGTTTTTTTTTTTTGGTGGTGCAGGGTGTCAAACCCAGGGCTTTGTGCAGATGAGGCACGATCTCTACCCCTGAGCCATGTTCCAACCACAAAAAGTTCTTATGAAAGGATGCAGAAAGAACTCCAGGCCCATTTTGACATCTGATCTTTAATGAAGGGACCAAAAGCATATGCCTCAGAAAAGGGGGCCTTTTCAAAACAGTGCTGCAAAAATTGGCTACCCACATGCAAAAGAACACGAGTTGGAGAGGAAATAGCAGAAAGAATCAACGAATGGAACTACACAAATTAAAAAGCCTCTGCACAGCAAAAGAACCGCCAATATAGTAAAGAGATAGTCTACAGAATAGAAAATAAATTTTACCAGCTACTCCTTGGACAGAGGATTAGTATCTAGGATATATAAAGACCACGCAAAATAAAAGACCCAATCAAAAAATGGGCAATTGTAATGAACAGACCCTTCTTGGAAGAATAAGTGACTGAAAAATACATGAAGAAGCATTCAACATACTTGGCCATGTGAGAAGTGCAAATTAAAACAAAACTGAGATTCCCTAACCCTAGAAAGAAAGGTTTAACATCACCAACTCAAGAAACAACAAGGCTGAAAACAGGAGGATCACTATGAGTCCGATCTGGGTAGTGAGACCCTGTAGACTCTACTAAATAAATTTTTTAAAAATGCGGGCAAGGCTGTAGGGAGGAAAGACATTTCTACATTGTTGGTAGGACTGTAAGCTAGTATAGCCATATGAAAATCAGTAAAGAGATTCCTCAAAAAACCTAAAGTTAGAAATTCCATTCAACTAAGCCATTCCTCTTCTAGGTTATTTTTCATATTACAGTAATATGTCCATTCCTATGTTTACAGCAGCATAACTCATAATGGGTAAATCTGAGTTGGAACTGGCCTGTATGCCCATCAACAGATAAATGAATAAAAAAAAATGTGGTTTATCCATACACCATAGAATACTACTCAGACACGAAGCAGGATATCTTTGAGTCATTTGTAAGGAAACGGATACCAGTTGGGACCGTAATGCTTAATGAAATAAATCAGACACAGAAGCTTAAATATCACCTAATTTTTCCTATATGAGAAACCTAAAGTATAAAGAGCAAAATAAAAGATAAAGGGGCCGGGGAGATGGCTCAGTAAATGCTTCCCTGGCACCCTGGCAAGCGCAAGGATCTGAGTTCAATCACTGGTTCTGCAAAAAAAAAAAAAAAAAACAAAAGGACAAAAAAAAAAAAATAAAAGATAAAGAGGAAAGAGGGAGATAAACCTTTTGTGGAAGGGAAGAGGATCTAGAGTTGGA